AGCAATGCATTCATGAGATGTCTTTCATGAGTGCGGAAATGAAGACAAACGAACGCTCCGAGGGCTATCTGACGTTTGACTATGATGGTCTATGGGTAAGGAAGAATTGTCCATTAACGCTTAAGAATAGATTCTAGATGACAACAAGGAAAATCGTAGATTTTGTACCTCCGGGTATTGTAATGTATGTTGCAGAATGTTGGGTGCATGTTGGGACCGTTCTTTAAATTAACTAGTGAATTCGCGCGAATACCATTTTTTTTCGAAAAGTTTCGAAATGTTTGTAATTGGCTAAATGATCTGTGAAATCACTAATCCCCTCTAGCCGACTGGAGCCCAAAGATAGAAAGGACAGGGGGCATCCCGTGGCGAATCTGGCTGCCCGACCCTCAGCGACCAGCGATAATGTAAACAAACACCCACACAAACGGCCGCGTGGGAAATCAACTTGCTCTCGAAAATTTATCAAGCCGACCGCTTCCCCCCGCGGCTGCCATCCCTCCCCACTTATCCCACACTAGTTCAAATCACGCTCGGTCTTCAAGTATATCTTAGTGGATGATGAAAATCAGAAAACAACACGGAAATCCCCACCGAAGTTCGAAAACACAGGGACTCAGCGGTCGAGAGGCTTTGTACAGACACCCGGCCAGATCCGGAAGCGAGGAGAGCCAGGGCGCAAATCAGGGTCGGCGGGGCGTGTGGCTTTCCCTGGCCGAAAGATTATCGCTCACTCGCGGTAGGGGATGGCACCCAAGCTAGCTCCAGGATAACATCGGCGACCCCGAGCCGAGTGTGCTGATTGATTGGCGAAGATGTAACCGCAAATGGTCAACCCGCGCGACCATTTTCACACACTAACAACAGTAACGGGTGTCCGAGACACGAAATACAAATAATCTTACGCCCCAAAACACATATACAATAAAACAAAAAAACCCTGCACCATCTACAGCCCATTAACAGAAGATACACCGAGTCACCGAGTCCCGTCTACCCCAACGCGAAATGCATGTCGAGAACGCCTGAGACAGTATACCACGGTATTTGTAAGTTAAGAAATCGTACTATACG